CGCTAAGTGTGTCGTTGTGTCGGTTGAGTTGGACTTGTGTGTATTTCAGTGTGGCGGCGTTAGGTTTGACAGGACAATAGTCGACGCGTCCCTCGTCGTGAGCCGCCCGACGGACGTGACTCACGACACACCTAACCTAAACTGGTTTAGGCGCCCCCGAATTGCATGGCCGAGTGCCTACCGGGTAAATCAAGGCCATGCCTGAAAGCATTCGTGCATGGGCCTTCTTTAGTTTACCTACGACTGCGTACTACTGCAAAGTGTTGCTGCCGCAAAACCCCTCCATAAAGGCAAAAGAGCGATGTCCCACATGAAAACTACTCAAAACGGACGGGTGGCAAATTGTACGCTTTGGTGAAGTATTTGTGTGGTCCCCTGCCCACTATTGGGGGGGGGGGGGGGGAGCTGCGGCGAGCCGTTTAGTGGAGAAAGTGAATACTGCTGAATACACATACTTTACAGAGATGCTGTATGCGAAACCAATGTGAGTTTGGAAAATTGCACAGTATTTTTCTATTTTAGTATACCTCAACAATGGAATTATGATCAGTGGAAATGGCCATGACATGTGACCTTTAAAATAATTCAGCTTTATGGAATGAATGCTTGTTTGTATACAGATTTTTCACACTCATATTCCCAGATTCCTCTGTGATTAGTGTTGTCACACTACCAAAACTATGTCTTTGATACAATACCTGCCTTTTAATTATGTTATTAAAATGGCCACTATTCATGCAAAGTGCTTACTGCAAACATGGACGCAACCTAAAAATACTGCGAATATTAAAATACTTAAATTTAAATAAAATGTGGTATTTTATCCTTTTTAAGGTACTGTGTTCTTCATAGTTTTGTGTATCGAGCAGAAATTAAAGTGATTATCTTTGTCTTATTGTTTGTGTGTCCCAGAGACGAGATGTTGTCACAGGAACAGTGGAGCCCACAGATGCAGAGTGCGAGTGGCACAGTGACAGAGAAGAAGAGGAGGAGCTAGCGGTAAGCAAAGACTAAAAAACTTTTTTCTTAAAAGCCTTATCACTTTGCAAAGTAAATGTTGGTTTTTCACAGCAAAGGACAATATTATTTCCTTATAGTGACAGACTGCGTTAATCTCATAAATAAACTAACATCCTGCAAAAAAATCTGGAAAAGAATCACCAACAAACAGGACATGCAAACTGTGAGAGTTTATGTTGCTGTAATCTTGATTTGATCTGATTTTTTTGCACACACAAGTCGAGCTGTGGGTTTTAAAAGACCTTGGTCTCAAGGGCACTTCACCAAAGCTTATTAAACTAAATGTAGATTTCCATTAACAGTTCCATTTCACTTCCTGTAGGAGCAGGTAAAAGAAAAAGCTTCTATTGAGGATGCAAAGAAAGAGGAAGCCAAGCCAGAGGAAGACCCAAAAGGCATCCCTGAGTTCTGGCTCACCATATTCAAGAGTGTGGACATGCTCAGTGACATGCTGCAGGTACATTTCAAGGATTTGTTGCTCACTCATGCCTGAAACGCATAACAACCGGTTCCTGAACAATGTCATTTGGCTTTAAACTGACTGTTTGTCTACCACCAGGAACATGATGAGGCCATCCTAAAGCACTTGAAAGATATTCAAGTCAAGTTTTCTGAGCCAGGACAGCCAATGGTCAGTATCTTCATGTTTTAATAAAGAAATACTATCATTCCTAAGTAATAAACTAAATACAGTTAAAATACTAGGTGACATAATCCATCTTGATCTTTCTCCCAGAGTTTCACATTAGAGTTCCACTTTGAGCCCAATGGCTACTTCAACAATGCCGTGCTCACTAAAGTCTACAAGATGAAGTCGGAGCCTGACGCAACAGAGCCGTTCTCATTCGAGGGGCCCGAGATCATTGACTGTGAAGGGTGAGAGCACACATACTGTGGTTATGACACATGATGTTGAGGTTTAAGATCAAATAGATTATGTGGTTTGTGAAGCCTCTCTGTTCACTCTTTCTATATTCATCTTTTTTGACTTAACGTCCCACATATCAGCCTCAACTTGGCACTTTCACTGACCTTTTTTTGCATCCTTGCTTTAGACTGCCTCTCACTTTTTTACATCTCCTCTCTGTAGCTGTCAGATAGACTGGCACAAGGGGAAGGATGTGACTGTGAAAACTATTAAGAAGAAGCAGAAGCATAAAGGCCGCGGCACGGTTCGCACCGTTACCAAACAGGTCCCCAACGACTCTTTCTTCAACTTCTTTAACCCTATCAAAGGTGAGAGAGAACACACTCGGAAACACGGGTATACAAAATATACTGCTTTCTCTTGCAATTCTTTTAGAGAAACTACTATTCTTTTCAACATCTGTCTTTCCCAGCAGTGTCTTTTTAAATTCAGGCATTTTTCTGTTTGCTTTGTACAAAAACACACTAGCTTGACAGTCAACATGTTTTAGTTTGAATCTGCAGACGTTATGGCAACATGCATGTCGTTATGGCAACATGCATGTTATTTGACTATTGGTCACTGCATTAAGCTGAATGAACAGCAGGTGGCGGCAGACTCTTAAACTGTGAGCGGGTGGAACAGTCGAACTGTCTGTCGCTCACTGATGTTGGGCTGTGTACACGAAACGGTTTACTCTACCTAAAAACTTTTACATCTTTGCTTTTACCGTTATTAAACATCTTTAGTGGGGTTTGGAAGCTTTGGGACGCTTAACAGTTATCCGTTAATGACTCGCACAGAAATGACCAACTCAAAATGTGAGGCAGAGTTGTGATACATCTATTAAAAATAACTATAACCCACTAAAAAATTAAAGATGTAAGTGTAAAGTCAGCTAATGCACATGCTTATTTTATTAGGAATAAATCAAAGGAAGAAGATGAAACATTCAACAAAATGGCAAGCTTCTGCAACAAAAAAGACTTGGCTCGTTACATTATACAATCATTCTGGCAGTTTAGTTAAAGTATAAAGTCAAATCTTTAAGACATTAAGTGACCTTGATGGTCTGATAACCTATATCAAAGGCAAGGGATGTCCGTCTAAAAAGGTTAGGCTTTTTTTGTTTTGCAGTGTAAAATACAGTGAGACAATCCCGTAAGTGAAACATCTTGAAATGATTCATGAGTTCTTCTCTCAAAGGATCAAAACGCCTTTTATTTCATTATTGGATTGTATTTCCTGTGTAGTTGCCTTACATGTCAGACATGCCTCAACTTATTCTGTCTTTGGAAAGTTGACCTGATCACTCATTGGCTGAGCAATAGTTTGTTCTACTGGTTCAGGCACAGCCTCGGTATATGACTGGTTGGTATAAATAGCTCCTCTTAAATGTGTTCAGGTGTGTGGTTCCGGGGTTGGGATGTCCATTAGTGAGGAAGCCATCACTCACTGATCATGTCAACATGCATAAACAGTGTGGTGTGTGTGAACACGGGTTATTTGACTTTTTAGATGCAGCCCATAATGAGCCTTCCAACGGTTTGAATGTATGCTGATCATACAGTAGAAGACCGTGTTGGAGAACAATTTCTAATGCTCACACTGAATAATGACTAAGGAGGTCATAACCTTGATGTTACACAACAGTTTCCTCTAATTCAGTATTGTTGAGAGCAGAGGAAGGATGGGGTGATGTCACCTCTAGCCAGTGTATGGGTGCTGGAGCACAGCTGCTTCTATACAGCCCGCCACTTTCTGTGGATGTGACCTCACTTTGTGATGCCATTTAATGATCGGCATGGCTGTGGCCTTAAATGGGCTTTTAGATGTTGGTCAATTACAGCTCATCCAAAGCTACAACATTGAAAGCAATTATAAAACTCATTTTACAGCCGCCTGTGACGTTTTTGTAACGAACGTGCAGTCAAAAATATCACATTTTAAGTGCTTTATCTTAGAAATTATCCTTCTCTTGTCATCAGTGCATGACATTAAGGATTTTGGGAGATGGCCCTGTGGGCCATCAAAGCTAATTTACAGATGGCCCTGAGCCCAATAGAGATTGCCCTGAAAAATGCGCGCGGACGAAATGACGCACGAAGGGTTTGGGGGGCCTCCCCCTAGAACATTTAGATTTTTTTAGGTCTCAGATGCTGTCTGGTGCATTCTCTAGACTGAATTATAAGATGAACCACCACAATATTATATTGTACAATTTCAATTGTATTCTTCATTTCACTTGTTTGTTCTTGTTTGTTTGCTCGCTTGCATGCCCTGCATAGCTATAAGAAATACTTAAGTTGTTGGTCAAGACACTTTCCATCTGATGAAGGCAAATGCCTTCCCAGATGTAAAACAAATTGAAAACATTACATTCAGTTCCAAAACACTCACTGCCAAAACAAACATTATTTACACTATTATGGCCCCTGTTAAAAATGTTTGTAATGTTATCTACTGTAAGTTGGTCGAACGAATGCCTCCTCATCCGGAAGCTGACCGAGCAGACCCGAGCAGCAGTCGAGAGGAGCCGAGCGCATCCGCGAAGCACACAAAATGGCGACGTCAGAGTTCCCGTTAGCCGGCAAATCTAAATCTCTTCGGTCAAAATGTCCGGTCAAACTAATTTCCCTTTAGCGCAATACCGCTTCAGTTGCGCTGGGCATGTAAACAAATGCATAATGCTGCGCTATACTTTGTNGACAAGAAGAGTATGTGACAGACAAGAAGAGGATGTGACAGACAAGAAGAGTCAATTCTAATGTCTAACACTTAATGTGGAGAAAGAGATGTGCTGTCTGGGTTGATTGTGCGTTNTCCCGTTAGCCGGCAAATCTAAATCTCTTCGGTCAAAATGTCCGGTCAAACTAATTTCCCTTTAGCGCAATACCGCTTCAGTTGCGCTGGGCATGTAAACAAATGCATAATGCTGCGCTATACTTTGTAGCCTCACCCAGTTGCATAGCGACGCTTATTGTTTAGGTGTCTTTTAATAAGCAGGTAGTCATATTATTAGCTAGAACTAGCTGGATCTGATCGATATGGACATAAACGCGAGTGAAGTCTAATCTGACGGAAGAGAGAGGTCAGCTGCTGCTGAGTCGACACGCAGCTCAGCATAATCACATGCAGCGGTGAGCGGAACAAAACACACACTTCAGGTTAGAATATCACACGTAGCTATTTTAATTACCTCTTGAACTACCGTAACTAGTTATAGATATGTTTACTTTTACTGTCGGGTCACTCATTACTGGATCTGCGAGCTGCATGATACTGGCATAATAGATGGTGAGACTTCATTGCCCGATCGGGCAACCAGCAGGTGAGGCTTCATTGCCCGATGAGGCAACCAGCAGGTGAGGCTTCATTGCCCGATCGGGCAACCAGTAGGTGAGGCTTCATTGCCCGATGAGGCAACCAGCAGGTGAGGCTTCATTGCCCGATCGGGCAACCAGCAGGTGAGGCTTCATTGCCCGAGCTAAATACTAGATGGCCATCGGGCAGTTGTTAATGTCGAGCCCTGGTCATTATAAAGCAGGGTTTTGTAGTGCTTATTGCTTACGTTTTCCTTTTCTTTACAGCTTCACCAGAAGGAGAAATGGTGAGTAAAATGTAGCTTTTTTTCTTCATAAAACCAGCACCCATGTCATCGTGTCTTCCATTACATGAATCTATGGGATTTGTAGCTGTGTTGAATGGTCTCTTTGTGCTCATGTTTTATAGGACGAAGACTCTGAGTTCACCCTAGCCACAGACTTTGAGATTGGTCATTTCTTCCGTGAGAGAATAGTTCCCAGAGCAGTGCTGTATTTCACCGGAGAGGCCCTGGAAGATGATGAGAGCGTGAGTGTTTTTGATCCAACACGCTGTTGTACTTGGATGCAGAAAAAGCCACAAAATGGGACATTTACAGACTGGAAGAAAACATATAAGCTAAATTTGTCAACGCTGGTTTACGATGTGTTATTTCACCCTGATTCTTTTTTGAATGCAGTTTGAAGAGGAGGAGATGGAGGAGGGAGATGAAGAGGTTGGTAATACTATTTTCCCTACCATTTGAATTAGATCTTTTATACGTCAGCTGGGCGTCGCTGTTCACACAACTATATCATAAAAGCACTCATTGTTTATATTTATTAAGGAAGGTCATTTTTGGAATACATTCTTATTCTCATTTCTTTGATTCTCAGGAGCAAGATGACGAGGGTGATGATGACGACGATGATGAGGGAGACACCAATGTGAGTATACATTCTTAATTTTTTTCTGATTTGATTTATAGTGCCTCTACTTACGATGTTTATCAAGACATAACCTTTTTGAATAGAATTTTCCCTAAAGGTTATTTTATATATTCCCAGTTTTAACCACCAGTTCACAGGCAACACATGCTGCATACGTCTCCTCCTGTTCATACTCTTAACAGGCTATCGGATACTAACTCATATGTAGTGACGGTCAGTGAAAGAGACATCCATTTAGTAGTTTAGTTGGACTGAAAGGACCATTCTCCATTTTTAGATATTCCAGTCTGATGGTGAGCAAGTGCATAACATGCCTCCATTAGCGGTTTGAACAGGAGTGACCAACAACGCTGCCTTGTTTATGTAAAAGTTTGTTTTGGTGCCTGTTGTGCAGAATGTGTTTGTCCCGTGATACCTGCTGCACATGAGTTATTCATATTGCTACAGAAATCCAATGTCTCCTTTCTGAATGCGACGGTTGATTAAACTTGTGCATATTGTTGTCTCTCCCTTCCCTGGATCCCCCTCCCCCCCCCCCCCCCCATTACAGGCATAATCAATCATTCTCACCCCATGCAATTTCTAGGTAAGGGAGAAATAAGGATGGCGTCCCAAACACTTTCTTACACTTTCTAGTCCTTTGGCTCTGGTATATTATTCTGGCTGCCGCTCTCCTTTACTACACTCATGATTCTTCCAATAGTCCGAGGTGTTTAGGACCCTCAACTTACACCTTGGGTAGACACCGCTTTTTTTTCTCCCTGTCCTGTCTTTGCTCTTTATCTATCTTTTTGTTTTCCCTCTGTAGTCCCATCCCAGGTTTCTAACATTGCACCCTTTGTTGTACACAACCAGGTGCCTTCATTCTCACGCCTGCTTTCCTGTTAGCCTCATCTATGGTTGCTAGTTGATTCCCAGTGGCCTCATTATCTCACTCTTCTTTTTTTTCTAATCTGGTTTCTCTCTGTCTATTCCCAACAGAAAGAACAGCCCCAGCCTGCCGAATGCAAACAGCAGTAACCGTGGTGACCTGGTGGAGACCTTCTCTTCGTCAAATCAGTTCTTAGCCAATCAACGAGTCCTCCTACGCCATTTTATGAACTCATGAACGCAATAGAACACAAACCAAACTGCGTTTTTTTACTATGTGCATGACTTATTTTCTTTCGTCTTGCGCCCATCTAACACTTTTATTTGGCTTCATTCAAAACTCACAGCGGGAAGTGATTTGACTCTAATAAACTACCATGTCATCACACAGGGGCAGTCTTCTTCTTTGGTAAGGTGGAGTAGGTTGCTACTGCCAACAACCTCAGAACATCATCATATTGAAAAAAGCATAGGAAAGAAATGGATCCCAACTTTAGTTTTCATGGAAATAAATCAGTTACTCAGGGTTTTTTATGCTAGTTACAGGAAAGTGTTGAACAAGTCTGACTTAATCTTTCACTGGGGTTGCTGAAGTGTTTTTCTTTTGTTATGGTATTTCAAGATGCATACAATGTATCATTTTGAATTTACTTTTGAAAATGTTCATTGTCATTTCATTGGACTATTTATTCTGGTGTAATGCAGCTGAGGGGTCGCATTTCAGGAACTCTGCTGCAGTTAAAGGCTTATTCTCATTGGCTCAAATCTTATTTGGGCTCAGCAGTTTAACAAAACGTGGAAACTGCCAAGTCATGTTTTTTATTATTGAAATTAGTTTAAAACTTAAGAATTGTGTCCTCCATTAATACTGCTCTCACTTCTGCCCAGCTCTATTGGGCTTAACAAGCATTTAAACTGAGCACTTGATTGGACACGTAACACTAACTAACATCATGTGACAGGCATGTGGTTATACCTCAAAACTGTAATACATATATATAGCTCTTCTCTGTTTGCCCTTGGTTGTTCATGAACCCACGTCAACAAGGATGATAAAAACAATTAAAAAATACAAGCTTTTGAAAAGTTGGAATGTCTCTGCATAGAGAAATGCTCCCGTCTGGGCTCTGCATTTCACTGCAGGATATCTCACTTAATCAGACAAAGGGACTGATCCACAACCTTTTTTGGGTTGCATCAGTCTCGTATGCATATTGTTCTAAACAAAAGTTTAAAGTCAGTGATGTGACGGGGTAGAGGATGTTTGGATCAAATGAAAATTCTGTTGCCAAGAAGCCAAAAGAAAGACAAAACCCACCGTCCTTTTTTATTCAACTGTTTGCCAATTGTCATTAACAGTGTAATCTAATTTTAAAGTTGTTAAAGAATATATAAATGGAAAACAAATGGAAGAGATTGCCAATGTATTTTATATAATGCACGCATTTCGGCAGTTTGGATGGACACTTTCGCCCGGTGTCAGCTCAGCGAAGGCAGTGCAGCGGAAAAAAACCTCTTTTTAAAAAGAACGATTGTAGGTCTTCTTGGGAAGATCTTTCAGAGCCACGGTTTTCATCTTCAAATTAACCACATTGGGCCGTGTGCTAGCAATGGCCTTAACTGGTTCTTAATCACAATATGTTACTTGCGAAATATTTCTTTTCAATTTGTACAGTTAATTAAAAATATTCTATTAAAGTTGTGCAACATGGAAATGTGTTGAGTCCTTTGTCCTTTAAAGGGACCCTGTTATGCTAATTAAATATGTTATTTTGTGCCTCTACTGTGACATTTTTACATCTTTTAATATTCAGAAAGTGCTTTATTTTTCTCATACTTCCTCTCTGAAGAACCAGCACCTTACCGTGGTAGAGAGGTTTGTGTGCCCTGATGAACCTGGGGGCTGTGTTGTCTGGAACCTTGTGTTCCTGGTAGGGTCTCCCATGGCAAATTGGTCTCAGGCAAGGGGCCAGACTAAGATTGGTTCACAAGACCTCATGAAAGACGACACACGAAGTGAGGATACCCGGCCCGGAGGAGCCCGGCCGGGCACAGCCCGAAAAGGCAACGTGGGCAACACCTCCGCTTCTCCGTCCCGCGGGCCCACCACCTACGGGAAACAGCGATGGGGTCGGGTGCGCTGCCAGAAGGGTGGCAGTGAAGGCAGAGGGTCTCGACGGAGCAGACCCGGGCGACAGAAGCTGGCTTTGGGGACGTGGAACGTCACCTCTCTGGGGGGGAAGGAGTCGGAGCTTGTGCGGGAGGTGGAGCGTTACCAGTTGGATCTGGTTGGGCTCACCTCTACCCACAGCGTCGGCTCTGGAACCTTACTTCTGGATAGGGGTTGGACTCTATTCTTCTCCGGAGTTGCTCAAGGTGTGAGGCGCCGGGCGGGTGTGGGGATACTCACAAGTCCCCGGTTGGGTGCTTCGTTGTTGGAGTTACCCCAGTGGACGAGAGGGTTGCCTCCCTACGCCTCGGGTTATGGGGGGGAAACTCTGACTGTTGTGTGTGCTTATGCACCCAACAGCAGTTCAGAGTATACGGCCTTCTTGGAGACCCTGGAAAGAGTCCTGTATGGGGCTCCTGAAGGGGACTCTTTAATCTTGCTGGGAGACTTCAACGCACATGTGGGCAATGATGGAGACACTTGGAGGGGAGTGATTGGGAGGAACGGCCCCCCTGATCTGAACCGGAGTGGTGGTTTGTTACTGGACTTCTGTGCTAGTCATGGATTGGCCATA